TACAAGACAAACAATTTATACAACTCTGAAATGTTACATACCTGACAACAGCTGCTTGTCTTTTATGATAGTCTCGTTGTAAGCTGAGAGATTCTAAAGTAACAAGTGAATTCGCTGATGTTAGAAATTTTGACTTCTCATGAGAAGACAAAGCTGTACCATGCACATGAAGAAGATTGGATTCAAGCTGCGCATGAGCCTCTGCCAAGAGATCAGCTACAGTTTCATGACACTTTGCTGCTTCTTCAAACTTTCCTTCACGCAATAATGCCTCTGCTCTCCTTTGTTTTTCATGCGCCTTAGATTAAAAACATTAAATCATGTTTATCAAATAACACTTATCGCACTTTGTTATCGTCTCTCATTCTTCTTTTGACAAACAAATACAATATATAAAAAACTCTTAATACAGATTGTGTGAACACACAATTGTTATTTTTTTATTTAATCTATAAAATTAAAAATACACTATGAATAGTAAAATACTTACCAAATTCAAGGCAGATGTCTCCATGACTATCCATGACTAATTAAAATGAAATTACGACTGCTACAGCAGTGTTCACAAACCAAGAACTATGAAATACATAGAGTGTAAAGCGACTGGGTACAGCAATAAAGAAAAGAGCGAAGGATCAAACCTCATTGGCTGTACCATATTGTTGACACGTGCGCTCCAATATTGTGTTACTATTGGATAATGATCTTAGTGTTTTTTATTTAACACTTGTGTCTACACTTCGCAAATGTACGCAATCAGTCTATATATTTTTTAGTCAATGCTCAAGCGACATCGAGTCGCGGAAAAAATTCAATTACGGAACGTTGCGTGCGTATAAACTCGCATGTAATCGACCAAGAAAATGTTTATATAGGAGTTTCACAAGTTTTGCAATAAAAAATATTAATCAAAAACTTATTAACTAACAATTCAATTACAAAAACACTCGCGATTTCATTTTATGTTACGTTTTTTTCAACTGTAGTGTTGTAATTTGACTAAAGTATGAACGATAGTGTTTGGCTTAATAACATTTTTTAATTTGAGACTTAATTATAAAGATTATAAAGTAAAAAATACAAAGTTTGCAAAAGATAATAAATTTCTCCCATTGTAAAAAGAATCGATTAAACATTAATGAAAGAATCTGTTATTAAATTTATGAATATCAATTATGAATGTCAATTATGAAAGACAACTTGTAGAATAAATCAAAATAATATGCAATTTCAATGGTGAGAATATAATTGATCAAAAGCACAGATGTCGCCTGAAAGTTAAAGAGATCTTTAACGAAGAACGAAAATTCTTTTCCACGGGAAACTAGTTTTCACATAGAAAGATTATCAAATAATCATATTTCGCCCTTAGCGAATAGTCGCGTGTGCGTGCGCGGGCACGGGCGCTTATTCTAGTGAATGGGCACGGCTTGTGAACCAAGAGTCTCTCTCTCGACGGTATGAATGAAATAGTAAATATAATTGACAGAAGGGCAAGCGTGGGCAGGCCAGTCGAGCGTTCAGTCAGACCAGGCTAGCAGAAACAGGCGGAACGAGGTGCAAGACGAGAACAGCGATATGTATGTGGCGCGACGTCGCGCCGTACAGCGCGGCACAGCGAGCGTAAGGATCGAGGTCATCACCTCTCCACTATTCGGAGGATAAGCAATATCCTGCGCTTCTTTCGTTATATCATTGATTTCGCCAATCTGCCATCCTATCGATGCTGGCCACTTTTTTTCTTAATCTAGTTATCTTTCAAGTTTAGAAATGAGAGGAGCGTAATAAAACACGAGCGGCGAAAGAGGCAAAGATAGAAAGCGTGACGAAAGAAGCGGGAAAGAAGTAGAAGAAAAAAACAGAAAGAAAGAAAGTAAGAGAAAGAGGAAGGGGAAAAAAACCGTTTTTCAAATACAACAAATGATAAAGATCCATTTACATCACATAATAACATATGTTTGAGATAAGAATTGGAATGACAATTTGCAGCGAGCTGCCATCTAATATTTAGCGGTGATCAATCTTGATCGTTTGAATTATATTTTTTTAACTTCACTCTTTTTTTTCAAACTTTTTATATTTCATACTTTTCAGTAGGATGAAAACATCCTAACGCGTTTGTCTCGAAGAAATCCGCTTGTGTACGGTCGACGTATCGGCAGAAGAACGTCGAAGAATATGGCGAGTTCTTGACCGGTCTGCCTTCTCCTTCTCTTCACTTCCCCTCTCTTATGGAGCCGTCGAGTGACGACCAAAGACGGTAGGAAGGTACGGTTTCCGGTCGCCCACGCGACAATCTAGTCGGGGCTCTCTCTTTCTCTTTCCTTTTCTCTCGCTCTCCTTATCTCTCACCGGCCAGCGTCGTTGTGAAAATCCTCTCGATTCAGGTGTATAGATAGCGTTTAGGAGCGGTAAGTCTGGCGCAACAGCACGCTACCGTAGTGGGGCGCGAAGGGGTCTAATATTTGCGTATCTTTGCGTGACGCACCCGGATCGCGTCGTGTCACCTCACTTCATCTCGCACCGCACGGTGCAAATTTCGCTCAATTTCGGTGGACAAATTGATCTGATTGCACGTAAATATTTAGAAAGAATTTTTTCAGTTCCTCGCACATCTTTATAATTTGGTTTCCATTATTTCTCATTCTTCATGAATCTCTCTTTCTCTTTAGCACTCCCTTTGAAGAGGTAGGGCACGCGAATGTGGGATGGATAGTTTCCGGTCGCCCACGTGCCTCCGTGACAACCACATCGTCGAGATATCGGGAAATCGAGTAAGCAAGTAAGATATACTCTCGCGAATATTTCTCTCGTAAAAATAAAGAGTGGAAAAAAATTAATGTATAATAAAAAAAGTCACCAATTATAATTTTGCGCGAACGAGAATTATGAGTTACGAAGAGCGGAAAGAAATAAGAAGGTGATAGGGGAATAGAGTGTAAGAAGGAACGAAGGAAAGCAGAGAGGAAGGAGGTAAAGAACGGAGAGGGAAGACGGTGAGATGAAGAAGGACAGCGATCGAATGTGGAAGAAAACGAAAAACGAACGGGTAAATAAAGATCGACCCGTCTCCCACGCTCGCGACCATTGTTATTATATATCCCATGGGGTATTGTTCCCATGGGAAAACTGGACAGGCTCGTTCTACCACCTATGGCTCTGAGCGCGACGAGGAGAGAAAAGAAGAGATAAAGGGAGAAAGAGACAAGCCGAGCGCACCAACACACTCGCGTATGTAGGTCCACGCATGTCCATACACAACTACAAGTCAACACGCCAAGTTTCAAGTAAGACGAACGCGTGTGTATGGAGCAATGATGCACGCAGGCACGCACGCACGCACGCACGCACTCACGCACTCACGCACGCACGCACGCACGCACGCACGCATGCACGCACGCACGGCACGAACGCGCGCGCACAGATTTTAGATATTGTGGGGGACGTTCACCTCGCATCTCAGACCCTCGTCGAGCTCGTTCGCGGGTCCAGAGTGTATGCATGCACGTTAGTACCATTCCCGTACGAGGCGTTATAAGGAGTATCCGGAGAGGCGCGTGTATGTGTGCGCGCGCGGGTACGGAATACGCATACACGGCTGCGCCACGAGTGTCCACGACGGAGGTCTTTCGGTGGATGCTTGAGGAACAGGGTGCGGCTCAACCTACCTTGCTTGAATTACCTACCAATATTACTGTCTAGGTGGATATATCCAAACGCGTGAGAGAGCGACGCGCAAGGCAGGATATTATGCTACATTGTGTATCCTTGATCCAGGACACGCGCGTATCCGTGAGAAACGCGGATAGATCTTCTCTTCCCCTCCCTCCCCCCCCCCCTTACCTTAATATACCTTTCCTCCGTGTGGTCTCTCATCTTTCTCAGTCGCCTGTAAAAAATATTTTTTTTCTCCTTTACGCCGTTTTAAAGAGCAACGTTTGAGAACGTAAACACATAATTAACGTTATTATCGTACGAAATCGAAGGGCCGAAGATCGATGAGAGCTAAAAAGATCGCTGCACGACGCGGCGTATCACGGTAACCCGTTACTCGAATTCTTCGCATTCCCGCGTCATTCCGACGGTAGTAACGTCGTCGGAGCAGTACGCGATTGCACGGTATTCGCGTTGGTGCAGAAGACTTACCTTACCAAACCGGATGGTCTCATCACGCGGGGAAACCGCGTAATTAATTGATATCATAATGGAGACCGCTTTTATCGCACTTTATTGAGTCGAAGTAGTCAACACGGAGTGATTCACCTAACTTGGCGAATCTTAAATTACTCATGAATCGCACTTGTTATCAAAGATTTTTCTTTTTCTAATGTTGCACGTAATCAATCGCACCGTAAGTTATATGAATATTAATTACATCTACTCGAAATTCATTGAGGAATATATTTCTGTTGGCCTTTTGCGCCCATGTGACTTAGTTTGCGTAAATCTTATTTTCAACCGCTAATTATTTAAAGCAAAAATTCTTTAGTTCTAAATAATTGTCCAGCTTAAAATAGGAACTTTACACTATTTATAAGCTGAGCAATCTTCGATAATTTTCTTTATACATAACATATAATTCATTTGTTACACTTCACTCGCATATTATTCATCACACATATTTAATTATACAACCTACTTAGTTCTTTAATACACTTCTAATTTTAGAACATTAATATATTTACAATTCTTAAGAACTCTAATAAAAATTTAATATTAAAAAAATGTAAGTTTTCATGTAATTGAATGTAAGCAATGTAAAGGAACCAGAATAATAATAAAATGCAATGCAAGTGAACTACTTTTGATCTTCTCATATCGTTTCACTCTTCGGCCATCAAGGAACTCCTGCCATCTCTCAGTATGTGCCATAACCGTGTGATAAGCGTAAATAGATATCGATGATTGTTTTGCAACAATTGTTAATAGCGCAATAATTTGTTTGACAAAGCGATTTCAGTCACTAATGCGATAACTAATAAAACATTTTATTATGTAATTAACGAATAAACTACCTTCAACCGTGTTATGTAGCTTCAACTTTTTACGATCTTTGCTTTGCTCGTCAATATCTAGTCCCCTACCTCGCTCAATTCGTTTTCTTATTTTTGTCGCTTTCAGCCGCTTGAAGTGTACGGTTTGGACTTTCACCGAAAGGAACATAACCGTTCATTCATAAATCGATGATTGAAGGCTCACCTATTCCGTTTGGTCGCGAGTAAATATGCGCATACGTGCGTTTCACGCGTAACGGCACGAGCGCAACTTAATCGCGTCCTTTTGCATTTTAATTTTTTTTCTCCTTTAAGGTATTACATTACAGTCACGCAACTTAGACGCACGCGAACAGATACGTAGCAACCAATAATTTGAACTAAACGCTTTGCGACCCACTAGTCAATGAGTTTATAATCGCATGCCAGCTTTCGGAAGCGATTGCGGTAATACGCCGTATAACGCACTAAAAGGTGGCGCACTTAATTGCACGACAATTATTTCTGTGGTTTAGCGTCTTTGAGCATAATCGTCGGGCGTAATTCATCCCGGTTTCTCTCTAATCGAAATCACCGCCTCGTCCATATTTTCAGAGGCTCGGCCTCGCGAATGACAAATAGCGAGTTCGTTAAACCATCGCGAAGATCTTGTCGAGCAAACAGAGATTGCCAAAAGTCAGGGCGATATAAATGCATAAATAAGATAAAATACTATCGAGAACGTATTAAAGCGATATCGTATGCGAAGGGAAAGGGAAAAGGTGCGAGAGAAGAACGTTGCTCGTGTAAAGGAAGAAAAAAAGAAGAAGAAGAAGAAGAGATGAGACGGCTGAGGTAACGAAGAAAGAAGAGAGTCGTGAAAAGTATCGAGATGGTAAGAATATACATAGCAGGAGATATATCCGACGCAAGGGCGCGCCGAGGACCCCGGGATGGAAAAGAAGAAGGAAGAAAAGAGGTGTGGCACGGATCTCCTAGCATTGTCCGACGGCGCGCGGCGGCTCACGGCGCGCGTTCGCGTGTCAGGACTGGTCCATGCAGCATCCAAATCTATGTATACGCGGCGAGATGTACGTGCATTAACCGCGCTCACGCATAGGAAAGAAGTCGCCTTCGTTGTACCTTCGCAACCGACCGACCGACCGACCGGAGCCCGTACGTGAGTCCGTCCGTTCGTGCACGCATGTATTCCCAGTGAGACGACTACACCACAAGCGTAGCGACAGACCAGACCGGTATTCAGAGTCAAAGGAGAGAGGAGCGAAAAAGAGAGAATAAGACGCGATGCGACAGACGAAGAGGGCGGAGAGGGCCGGTAGAAGAGGGAGTAGGCACGAGCCTAACCGCAATCAACATCCCACGCGCCGCGGACCAACATTTAGATGCCTTCTCTCTTTCTTTCTCTCTCTCCTTTTCTTTTTCTCCCCCTCCGCTCTCTGTCTCTCTCTCTCTTTCGCTCTTTTTCTGTCCTTCTGACTTTCTGTATCTCTCGCGTTTCATTTTCTAAACTTTTCATTACTATACGGAGACCGAAACCGTTATAATCCGGATGAGCGATCGATTTCTAATGCTGCAGATGCGAATAATACGACACACGACGATGATTTTTGTTGCTATAAATAAGCAGGAATCATTTTCGTATGTCTGTAACATCGAAATCTGAATTCATTAAGATTATAGCGACTTGAATCCTTGTCGTGTTCAATTAGGAACTTAGCATGTTTATAATGAGTGCTAAGCACTTTTGGTCTCTCATATGTACGTATTATGTAGCCCATTTATAAATTTTTTTCGCACAAAAATATGTTCAAAATAAAATAAAAGCTTGTAAAAATTTTATATAATAAGAACCGACCAGGATTATGTTAATAAATCAGATAGAGCCATTGAATTTTGCGAAAGAATATAACAAAGAATATTTTTCCAGTGCGAAGAGTAATGTTTTTGAGATATAAGTGAAATTTAACATTCTGAGTTAAGAAAAAATTAAACACCGAAATAGAAATATAGAGTTTGCAAAATAGAAATGTAAATCTTATTTCGAACGATAAAACGCAGAGTTTATGTGTATTTTCAGCATGTTTCTGAGAAGTTGTTTCAGGAATAAAGTCTTCATACTTGTCTTAATACTTGCACTTTGTAATAAATCCTCTTACAATCAGTATAATAAATATCTCATGCAAATGTTTAATAAATGGACGTAAAGCTTATTCTGCACAATATCTGAATCAAGTCGGGAAGATCTTGAAGAGAAGAATACGAGAGAATCTTCGAAAGATTTGAAAAATCTTTCTCTCGTCGTAATAAGCGTCACCGCGAGACATTTGTTAAACGCTCACTAATTGACAAAATGTCATCATTGCGAACGGAGTCTGGGATTTGTTAAAATAATCTAAGAACGCATCTTACTCTTTTCCATGCGCAATTGAGTTGAATTTTAAATCGTAAAGTCGTACGTAGTCCCGTGAAATCGGATCCAGGGTAAATCACAAACAGTCATCTCGTCTCTTCCCTGGTCTCATTCTCCGTTTCTTGTTTTCTCGTTCTTACGAGATCGTTTTTCCGTATGCTCGAAGCGCGAGGTAGATTCATGATTTTGATCGGAACGACCAGCGCGATGGAGCGTTGCGTTGTTTCTAAAAAAGGAGAACTCGTTGTATCCTGACGCGATAAAGAACAACGATCTGGGGTGCTCCGAGTGGTAAAGCACATAACAGCCAGAACGGAATCGTATTAAGGCATGGAGAAACGTTTATTCAGTTTTTTATTGGACCACAATGTACTATGTCGAGTATTAGTACGTCATTCTTTAACATATCCGTGCTTTTTTAACGCTTTTTATAACGTCGAAGAGACCGTAAAAAAATTAAGATTTTCAGCTTATGTAAATAAGTAACTTTTATTCTGTCGTTCTTCAAATAATTTTTATAAAATTTTTACGTTGAAGATGTGACGATTTTTTTGTGTACAATAATAAAGATGTAAAGCTAGTAAATCCAGCAGCGGAATTCAAGCTCGTGTCATTATTTTGATATTATTTGTAATACAGTTTGTGTTTCTTTTTCTATATTTTCCTTCTTTTTCTAATTTATATAATTTTTTTATTGATTTATATTTTGTTTATCAATTAAATTGCCCCGTTAATATAAATATAAACGGCTTTTCTCTCTGTAAATATACGCAATAGTGAAAGTAGAAATTATTATCGTATAACTCTCACAATCAGCATGTTTTCAGTATTCTGATGTCAGAACAATCTGCTATGATCGTCAAGCTTTTTTCTCGCAGAACGCTTCAGCTCGTAATCAGTCTGGAATATCAATTAAAATTTGCCCCGAGCACACGGATACTATAGCTTGGTTTCGTGATATTCCCCGAAGAGAAAAGAAAAAAGAATCATATTGAATAGATAGAAATATTCGATACGTATCAGAAAATGTGTAGGTTGTGGCGTGTTTAGAATGCGATTTTGAAAGAATATTTCCAAAATAAAGTGGAAAGAAAAGGTAAAAATAACGATAATTGATTCCCTTCAAGCGATATGTTTAAAGCAGTACTTTACTGCACTTTTCATTGATGCCATTGAGATGTGTCATTTAGGCGAGATATTAAAATCGAGCGGTGCCACGCGCAATTCGACTATTATTTCGACGACAGCAATACACAGTCATACACGCGAGGATTATCGCGACAAGTGTACAAGGCTGAATTGAATAATTTCTTCTGTGTAGCATCGGCCACAATACGACACATGAATAGAATCTAACACTGTTGGGCTTGCGAATCAATTTTAATACGAATACGTTGTACCGCGCGTTTTGCCTTCAATTCTCAAATTTACAGCGATAAGAATAAAATTCACATTCTTAAGCAAATTGAACAGGAAGAGGCAAAT